CATTTGTCTGAAATGGTATAGGGCAGTGGTTCTCAACCTGTGGGTCGGGACCCCATTTGGGGTCGATCGACCATTTCACGGGGGTCGCCAAGCAAGGCTGTCCGCCATTTTTTTTGTCTGCCATTTTTTTACCCTTTTCCGGTGGGTGCCTTACCTCCCTTGAGCTGGGCCAGCTGGTGGTCGGCCTGCTCCGTCTCTGGCGCTTGCCAGCTACGCCTCGGCCGGCACAGGGGGCGGAACCACGCATGCGCAGCGCTCCCAGGCAGGGAAAGTCCTCGACTTACGACTGGTTGGGTAGTCCTCGACTTACGACCAGTTTAGTCCTCGACTTACGACTGGTTGGGTAGTCCTCGACTTACGACCGGTTTAGTCCTCGACTTACGACCGGTTGGGGTCGCGGCATTAAAAAGTTTGAGAACCACTGGTGTAGGGTTTCCTGCCTGAGCAGGGGGTTGGACTAGATGACCTCCAAGGTCCCTTCCAAATTTCTTATTACTACTACTACTACTACTACTACTACTACTACTACTACTACTACTACTACTACTACTATTATTATTATTATTATTATTATTATTATTATTGGGGGTTTTTATTGGCAATGTTTGGATTTGTAACTGAGTTTGCTCTTGGGGCAGGGGGGCAGGTAATTCTTTACAAAGGATATTTGGGCGCAGCTGAAGTTGAGGGCTTCCACGGGTCTAGGAAGCTGCCTCCACCTTTAGTAAATAATGAAGAAAAATAATTCAGGTAGTCCTGCACTTATGGCCATACCCGAGCCCAAAGTTTATGATGCTAAGTGAGACATTTGCTCAGTGAGTTTTGCTCCATTTTACGACCTTCCTTGCCACCATTAAGTGAACCACTGCAGTTGTTAAGTTAGTAACATAGTTGTGAAGTGAGTCTGCCTTCCCCACTGACTTTGGGGTCAGAAGGTCACAAAAGGGGATCACGTGATCCTGGGACACTGCGACCGCCATAAACACGAGTCAGGGTCTGCCAAGTGCCTGAATTTGGATCAGGTGACCACGAGGAGGCTTCAACCGTCCTTAAGTGTGACAAATGGTCATCAGTCACTTTTTCCAGTGCGGTTGTAACTTTGAACAGTCCCTCAGCGGCCTGTTGTAAGTTGAGGACTTACCTGTAATAAGCAGTTCAGGGGCTGGAGCAGAGCAAAGGCCCGTTCTGATCCAGAGGAGGAAGCAAAAGAGGGACCAGGGGCCAGGGCAGAGTTATTTGCAATGTGTCATTTGGCTCAGAGAGTCGGTCGGAAGACAACCAGCTGGAGAGAGCCAAGGCCAGGCAAGCGGGAATGATCAAATCGGAATTCGACTGGAATCTCTGTGATTGTCTTGTTTAACCCCCCACTGATTAAGGCAACTCCAGAGCCCCTCCTGGGTAATCCTCTGATTGCTCGGATTAAGGGAGGGAAAGGGGGAGGGCGGTGCGTGAGAAAGTCCAGGTGGCCGAGTGAAAGTTCCAGATGTTCTCCCCAAAGACGAGGGGCAGGCACCTGTTAAGCTCCTCAAGACATGGCAAGAGGGAGGGGAGTGGGGGAGGGTGGGGGTTGGGGGAGGAGGGGAGTTATATTGTAAAACTTTTAAAAATTTTCAATTAAAAAAAAAAGACATGGCAAGTACAATCAACATTTGTAGAGGAGGGGGACGCGGTCAAGGCTTCGGTCGTTGCAAGGCACGTGAGCCAGCAGACGGTGGTTGTGGGGTCACTGCGTCTGATCAATGCTCCCCAAAACCTCTATCTACAGAGAGGGGATATGGCCACCCTCCCCTACCTCTAGAAAGCGGGGAGCAAACAGGGGAAGTTGCTGGACAAAGGTGGGGAAAGAAGCCCAAGATCACCACTGGCGCAGCCCCACAACCTACCCCGGGCTTCACTGTCCTTGGGGCTATGGCCACGCAGACTCTTCCGACGCCCTGGGCCGGTCCGTAGGGAACTCTGAGGCTGTTCGTCCGCTTCGGCTTCGGCTACAGCTGGAAAGAATTTATTTATTTATTTATATTTATTTATATTTGAATTTATATCCCGCCCTTCTCCCGTAGGACTCAGGGCGGCTGACAATCTATTTAAAATACATACAAAACAATACAAATTTAAAATTAATTAAAAGGAATATTTAAATATTTGTCGAATTTTAAAATATAATTAAAACCCCCCTAAAAATTACCCTAGGCCAGTCCCGCAAGCTGGAATAACCATGTCTTAAGGGCGCGGCGGAAGGAAGGGAGATCAGGGATCACCCTGATCTCTGGGGGCAGCTCATTCCAGAGGGTGGGAGCTCCCACAGAGAAGGCCCTCCCCCTTGGGGTCGCCAGCCGGCACTGTCTGGCTGACGGCACCCTGAGGAGACCCACTCTATGGGAGCGTACCGGTCGATGGGAGGTACTCTGCGGCAGGAGGCGGTCCCGAAGATATCCGGGTCCGATGCCATGGAGCGCTTTAAAGATGATAGTCAACACCTTAAAGCGCACCCGGAAGGCCACAGGCAGCCAATGCAGCTCGCGCAGCAGCGGTGTCACGTGGGAACGCCGAGTCCCCCCCAACACCGCCCGCGCGGCCGCATTTTGGACCAGCTGGAGCCTCCGGGTGCTCCTCAAGGGGAGCCNTAATAATAATCTCCTTGGAAGCAACACAGGCCTTCGCCTGTAAATAACAACTCCCCAGCTGAAGATTAAAACCTTTCATTCTAAATTTACTCTGATGAGATGAATGCCCACCATCCCTGAAAACATGCAGCTGGGGCCCAGGTTGCCACGGCAACTCAAGGAAATACCCTGCTCGAAGGAGTAGGTGCGAGTCGTTCACAGCAGAGCCCGGGTGATGCGCTAATAGCCTCCTGCCAGGCCACCCTGTTGCCTTGGCAGCCGCTCTCTTCAGGGGCCGGACGGATCCTGCGGAGACCCGGGAGAGCAGAGGCACCCGACGGGGCCCTGGCACGTCTCCCACTGACTCCCAGCCATGCTGCAAGCATCGGGCCCCCTACCCGTGAGGAGGACCTGAAGATGCTCCTGAGTGGGCGGAGGGGCCTGGCTCCCTCCCTTCCCTCCTCCGGCGCCTTCCTAGCTTCTGAGGGCTTATTGCAGTGGTTCTCAACCTTTTTAATGCCGTGACCCCAACCGGTCGTAAGTCGAGGACTAAACCGGTCATAAGTCGAGGACTAAACCGGTCATAAGTCGAGGACTAAACCGGTCGTAAGCCGAGGACTACCCAACCGGTCGTAAGTCGAGGACTTTCCCTGCCCGGGAGCGCCGCGCATGCGTGGTTCCGCCCCCTGCGCTGGCCGAGGCGTAGCTGACAAGCGGCAGAGACGGAGCAGGCCGACCACCAGCTGGCCCAGCCCAAGGGAGGTAAGGCACCCGCCGGAAAAGGGGAAAAAATGGCGGACAAAAAAAATGGCAGACAAAAAAAATGGCGGACAGCCTTGCTTGGCGACCCCCGTGAAATGGTCGATTGACCCCAAATGGGGTCCCGACCCACAGGTTGAGAACCACTGGCTTATTGGGACCTAAAACCTGCGCCTGGCAAACTCCACCAAACTTCTTTCGGGGAGAACAGGAGGCCGGCTTTCGGGAACCACGTGTGCTTCTTCCCCTGCCACATCTGGGTCTCAGTGGGCAAATGACAGGCCCACGAGCCAGGCTGGGTCCCCCAGATGCCCAGGCCACCTCCCCAGCAAAGGATGGGAGGAAAGAGCCAGGGCAGTATCAAAGATCAACAACGGCATTAAACCCTTTGAGCAGGGGTACATCTCCTGGGTGTGTGTGTGTGTGTGACTTTGCTCCCCTCTCCAAGAGTTTTCCCTCTGCTCCTCTTTCTCCCCTTTTATTCCCAGGCTGTTCCCTAAAACCTTTTTCTCTTGAGGTTTTGCTTCTTCTAAGCCTGAAACATCCCCTCATCCTACATATATACATATATCCTACATACTACATACACGTAGTAGGGCTGCATTGTTACTGTTATCCTTCTCATCTTTCCTATTACCTATTCCTCTAGCATCTTATGACTATCACTTTGTTGTTTGTATCTTGTGATTTATGTTGATTGTTTTTATTTAGTATCCTGTGACTGCCACTGAGTGTTGCATTTATGATGAGAGCATTATGATCATGATTTATCACTTGTTGCTTGTATGTACCCTGAGAGCTTCTGCACCAGAAACAAATTCCTTGTGTGTGTCTAATCACACTTGGCCAATAAAGAATTCTATTCTATTCTATTCTATTCTATTCTATTCTATTCTATTCTATTCTATTCTATTCTATTCTATTCTATTCCATTCCATTCCATTCTATTCTATTTCTTTCTATTCCATTCCATTCCATTCCATTCCATTCCATTCCATTCTATTCTATTCTATTCTATTCTATTCTATTCTATTCTATTCTATATTCCATTCCATTCCATTCCATATTTTCTATTCTATTCTGTTCTTATTATCCCAACAATGTCTTTCCAGTCCTGGTCCGCATCTTTTCAGTACCACCAATGGGCCAGCTCTTCTCCAGCCTCTGAGCACCCAATCTGGGGCAGGACAGGGGTGATGTCCAGGGCTGCATCAGGAGGCTGGTCGTAGGTGGGCTAATATTATGCCTTCCTCTCCTCATGAGATGAAATGCAAAAGGATCCCCCAGTCCAGACTTCCTCAGCTGGGCAGTCTTGGTGCTCTCTGAGCTTGGTTGCTGGCTTGCAGACATTTCATTATCCTGCTAAGTAACAACTTCAGTGCCAGAAGAGTGAGGCACTGAAGATGTTACCTACCCAGGTAACAAAATGTCTACAAGCAAACAACTCAGTTCAGAGAGCGCCAAGAACTCCACAGTTCAGCCCCCAGCTGGAGAGATTGTCTTCTATTGGTACTTCTTCGACCTCCTGCTCTCCACATAAGATAGAACTACAATTCCTATCTGCTATGACGCTGGAAGTATGGCCCTTTGCTGTCAGCCCTACAGTGTAAATGTTATCATGAGGTGGTTTATTTTCTGTATTCTCTTTTATTAAATAAAGAAAAAAAAACAATCATTTTATCATTGCTTCATTACTGCTTTGATCATTCTTTGACTAAACTTTGAGAGGGGCATGATAAATCTTGCGAGAATCTATATGAAGTGGTGGCTTGGTTGCTACAGAGGAATTTTTGAGTCTGTCATTTGTACTTCTATAACTGTCGGGTTTGGCACAGCAACTAAGCAGGACAGGTACAGACTTCAACAGATAGTTAAGACCGTAGAAGGAATAATTGCAACCAGCCTGTCTTCCATAGAAGACCTGTATATTGTACAGGTCAGAAGAACAGCTGAGAAAATATCTACAGACCCCTCCCATCATGGACATAAACTATGTCGACTTCTCCCTTTGGGATGCCACTATAGGGCATTGTGTGTCAAAACAACTAGACAAAAAGACAGTTCCCCGCCCCCCCCCCATGTCATCACTGCTGAACACCTAATTCCCACAGTACTATCTTATCTCTAAGGATATTTACCCATGTAGTAGGGCTCTATTGCTATTATGCTTCTCATCTTCTCAGTATTGTAGGCTAATTCTGCCAACTGTCAGCAGTTTGATCCTCACTGGCTCCAGGTTGACTCAGCCTTCTATCCTTCTGAGATCGGTAAAATGAGGATCCAGATTGTTGGGGGCGACATGCTGATTTTGTAAACCGCTTAGAGAGGGCTGTAAAGCACTATGAAGTGGTACATAAGCCTTAGTGCTATTACTATTTCTCATCTTCTCATCTTTCCTACTAACTTCTTCTATTGGTATCTTATGTTTTATAACTTCTTGTTTGTATCTAATGAATTATGAATTGTATCTTACCATTTATGATCTATGACTCATCATGTTGTTGTTTGCATGCATGCTGAGAGCTTGTGCACTGGAGACAAATTCCTTGTGTGTCCAATCACACTTGGCCAATAAAGAATATTCCTATTCCTATTTGAAAGTATTTTTGTCTTTTACTTTTGGAAATTAAGGCACCTGGTTTCCTGGGGGAAAAAAAAAACTCCAGGCCATCCTTCTTGCCTCTCTTCCTACTACCCAGAACCTTTGTGCGAGCTTCCTCTTCTTAGCAAACTGCTAAGGATTCCTGAACCATTCCTTGGAGAGCTTCCCTTACCTTCCTTTCCAAAAACCATTTGTGCCCACTTACCTTTTTTAACTGTGTAATATTTTGTTGTTAGTTTGGAGAATATGGACAGGCATATACATCTTTTTCACAAATTAAAAATCTGCACACACAAACATGCATTGCAACCCACAGTTCACGCGCTATGAGGGCACAAACAGCCGCTGGGCAGTCCAGAACTGGCACCAGTGGGTGAGACTCACCAGCATCGGATGTCCCACTTGCCAAGGACTTGTAGCCAAGGAACCTGGCGATCTTCTGCTGGCAATGGGCCTGCTCCTCGTAGGTTAGCAACTGGTAGATGAACTGCCAGATCACCTGCTTGGAGGGCGTGTCCAGCACAGGGTAGACGTCCACAATCAGGGTGTCGATGTTCCTGAGTGGACAAGGAAGGAAGCAAAGACTTCTTTAGGGCAGAGAGAGCAGGGAAGAAAATCCAAACCCCAGGATTAGAGAAGAGCTGGAAGGGGCCTGAGGACAGTCTCAGTCCATGAACACGAATGGAAGCCCCCAGACATCCAATGCTCGGCTCGGACACACTGAATGGAGAGGAGAGGCTCCTTCTCCGGTCACTGGACCCACTCTTGAATTGCACTTCGGTTTGGAAAACTTTTCCTACTGTTCAGCAGGAATCTGCCTTCCTGACACTTGAGATTATCAGAGCCAATTTAAAGATTTTTTTTTAGGGGGGGGTGCAATGACAAGTTTGGAATCACCCCCCTCTCTAATACTGCAGATGGATCTCTGAAAACTAAGATGCGTTCAAAAATGAAATGTAAGAGTCACCTTACAGAGTAGATGGGTGGCATAAAGATTTAATAAATAAATAAAAATGCCTAAATAAACAAAATATCTGGAAGAATTCTGGGTATCAGAGACAGCCTGCAATAAAGGCTGGGGGCTCCCCTGTCTTTCTTTTCCTCCCCACTGGACAAATGTGATCTGCCGGTCAATATCTGTCAATCATGTTTTTCAGACAGGGGATGGGGAAGAGCTGGCGGGAAAGGTTGACCGATGGCTGGATTATGGGTTCCACCCGTGTTTTATGGTTTGCTTTACTTCTTTATTATTTAGTTAACTCAGTGCACTACAAAACTTCGCAATGGTTTATAGGAAAGCAAATTTACTTTACAACGCAAACGTGAGGCCTTAAAAACATAACGTAAAAGCTTAAACAGCAAATAGCCATATGACAGTAGCATAATTATTAAGAAAAATGCAGTTAAAAATAAATAGTTGAAATCAAAACTTGGATAACAAAGTCCCTTAGTGGCAACAAAGGCAAACTTTCTCAGATAATGGTAGAGACCAGTGGTGGTGAACCTATGGCACGCGTGCCAGAGGCGGCACTCAGAGCCCTCTCCGTGGGCACACATGCTGTCACCCCAGCCCCACCTTCCCCCATGACCCCCTCCTCACCAGCAGCCCCCCCCGGAGGAGAGTAGCCCCCGGGCATGGCCCGCACGGAGCAGCACAGCCAAGGACATGGCAGACAGGCAGCAGGGACAAGACGCCGCCCTCGTGCCCCATTGCGCGCAGATGATGCTGCAGGGCGTGAGGGCTTGGCCGCCATGGTGCTGCAGGGCCGCCTGAGTGATCTGCGGCGGGCCGTGGAGGCGGTAGGTGGCCCTGAGGGCGGGCAGGGCGGTTTTTGAGCACTCGGTGTCTAAAAGGTTGGCCATCACTGGTATAGACTCTTGCTCATGCAGGGAATTGGACTAGATGACCTTCAAGGGCCCTGCCAACTCTGTTATTCTATGTTCTATGTTCAATTTCTGGGAGAACAGACATTCATACTGAAAGAGGTGTTCTCTCTCTTGAGTCTAAACTGCAGGGGTTTTTAAAAGTAAAGGTTTTAAAAGCGTTCCATATTTTGCCCAGAAATGAACTGGCACTCAGCCTAATGCCTTACAGCGCAGAGATAATATGGTCTCTGTGGACATATCAACTGATGACAAGTATGTCTGTGTAATAGTAGGGGGAAACGACCTTGAGGGACAGGAGGAAGAGCGGCAGGCTAGACAACCATCATGCAAAATGTAGCTCAGCCCACAGAAGGAAAAAGGGCATGGGAAGCAATTTAGAAGGGATCCTCCCTAGTTTTCCAGAGAGGAAAAATATGTTCCCTTACTGTAACCCAGGGGTAGGCAACCTTGGCTCTTTTATGACTCGTGGACTTCAACTCCCAGAATTCCTGAGCCGGCATGGCTCAGCTTGGAAACCTCTCCCTTTCCCCTCAGCGTGGCTGGCTCGGGAATTCTGGGAGTTGAAGTCCACCAGTCATAAAAGAGCCAAGGTTGCCCACCCCTGTGGTAATGTTACAACAAAAATAGGGCTAGTCCTTCTTGTCTGGACCACCTCAAAGACCTAAATCTGGCAAGATGTGTAAAGGCAGCTTCCAGAACGTCTCCTGCAAAACTGTTTTGCAGGACAGTTTTCAACTGCGGCTCTTCTTCCTGTCTCCCAAGGCCATTCCCACACAACATTACGCCCTGGATGTTGCCTCAATCTTTGAAGCTAAAAGCCTAGGCAAGTTTTTCACTTTACCTCCATGCCAGAGAAAAGCTTTGCTGAAGCAGACTCAGGCATTCTGCTGTGAAAGGAGCTGTCAACGCTGCAAATACTATATATTCTTGCTTTGACAATATGCAGAACTGTCTGGTATTTATATAGTTAAACCAGCAACTGGGAAAGAGGGAGGAGCATAAGGATAGCCCGGCGGAAGTAAATCACATCTTCCAAGTTGATTGGAAGATGTGAACCATGACCCTACAATAAGGGAGTGGGAAATGCTTGGAATGTTATGCGTAACGGAAGAGAAGCAGACCTAAGCATTTCCACCATGCTGTACTGACGTCTCTGTAACCTTAATAAATGCTTTTAGGAAAAATTATGCCTGAAAGTCCTTTTAAGTGTTTCGTTAATCAGACACATGACATCATGCTTAGGTCCGCCCTCATTTTAAAACAATCTGGGGTCCCGAACCCCATCCACTGCCTCGAAGTTTGAGAGGTACTGGTAAAGATTCGGGGAAGAATGACAGGAGCCTCGTCATCAGCTCTGGGCTCCTGCCCTTAACTGCAAGCCCCCCAGTTCATCCCCAAAACTGGGTGGTGCTCAGTCCAAACGCAGAGCCCAAGCAAGAAGGAGCAGAAGGGAGCACAACCTTGCGAATTTTCCACTTGGACAAACGGATGGAGTCCCCATCCCTTCACCTGTGCTGGAAGAAGCTCTCCAGGGCTTTGCATACTGTGTAGCGCTCTGCTGGTATGAGCAGATGTTCCAGCTGCTGGTGGAAGGTCCTTCCCTGGATCTTGATGCTGGAGGGCAGGATCTCAGCGACCCACTGCAAGGAGGTGAGGGCTGAGGAGGAGCTGGGTGCTTCAGAAGATTCACCATCTGGACACAGAAAGAAAATCTCTCGTATGAAACAGAAGACAAAACTGATTCCAAGCTCTTTGGAGCCTATTGGGACGATCTGATTTTAAATCAGAATAAACATGTGAACAAATTATTGTTCGAACACTATTATGATCTCCATTCCTTGTTCATCCAGTGGAACAGCCCTTTTATTTCTCCCACGGGCTCAAACAATCTTTCCTGATGGTTATAAAGAATATATGTAAAGAAAATTGCACCTAGTGACATGTAGGCTGCTTCATTTATAAGAATCATTATAACAATAATTGGCGCCTTCTGCCACAGATTTTCTCTCACAGACCAGTACGCTCCCACAGAGCGGGCCTCCTCAGGGTGCCGTCGGCCAAGCAGTGTCGGCTGGCGACCCCCAGGGGGAGGGCCTTCTCTGTGGGTGCCCCCACCCTCTGGAACGAACTACCCCCCGAGATCCGGACGATTCCGGATCTCCTATCTTTTCGCCGCGCCCTCANTCTGGCCTAGGGAGAATTTTAAATAGGGACAATTTTAATTAGAATTTTAATGGTAACACAGCGGTAAATATTTGTTTTTAATTGGTTTTTATTGGGGATAGTGTTTGTATCGTTTTAATATGCTGTAAGCCGCCCTGAGTCCTGTTGGGAGAAGGGCGGCATATAAGTTTAATAAAATAAATAAATAAATAAATAAATGTTTGAAAACAGAACCTGTAAAGACATTCCCATTTTGTAACTATGAAGTGGGAACAGAAATTCAGCAGGAATCTCTTGCTGTGTGGCCTCAACCACCAACTGATGGTTGAACTATTATGCAACTTCCTGGTGCTTTCAAAGGTCTGGAATACCCTGAGCATGGGCTTTAAACTCTCCGAGGACCTAGTTTCCGGGGCTATTAGCTTTAAAGCTTAAGGAAGGGGGGGGGGAAACACCTGGGGAAAGAGAGCATGGAGAAAGAGGAAGACAGCAAACTAGCCTTCCAAGATTATGACCAAATCTTTGCTTACCACTGGAAAAGCTAACAATGCCTTCTTCAACCACGAGGGTGGGCATTGCCCCGCTGCCTTGGAGCATGGAGACCACCTTCTCATGGGAACAGTTCCTGCAGAACAGAACACAGGATCAATCCGGGACAGAAGCAGCACCAGGAGGGCTCCGCAGACAGGACAGTCATTGGCGAGAGTTGAAAAGTTGTGTCCAAGCCAGCTAAGGGTTAGAACAGGGGTAGGCAACCTTGGCTCTTTTATGACTCGTGGACTTCAACTCCCAGAATTCCTGAGCCAGCATGGCTCAGCTTGGAAACCTCTCCCTTTCCCTTTAGGATGGCTGGTTCAGGAATTCTGGGAGTTTAAGTCCACGAGTCATAAAAGAGCCAAGGTTGCCTACCCCTGGGTTAGAAGGACATCAAACCCCAGAGATAATCGTGGGGAAAAACAAAGAAACTGCTAATTCACCTCATATCCAGGCCATTCAGGAACAGGATTCTGTCGCCAGCTTTCAGGGATGCTTTTTCAGCTGGACTCCCTGCAAAGACAAAACAACAACAACAACAACCCACCACTCTTGGAGGACTCTAACGCTGCTCTATTTGCAGAATCTGCTGGGGTCACAAAGGCACATCTCTCCTTTTGGCTGATCCCTCCATGCCCAAGGCAGTTCCCGCAATTCCAGCACCATCATTTTTGCATAAAATCACAAGATCCTGGAAGGAGCACCCTCACTAGCTATCAAACCAGACTTTATATTGAGCTCCATCTTTCATTATTTGGAAATTGGCTTGATGGTGTTTGACCCTACAGGACATCCATACTTCCTTCCATTATCCCTCATTCTGCAAAGAAGGTGTATCCCGATAAGCCAGACTCCATTTTGTAACGTAATAGAAACATCTAGAAGAATCCAGCTTGGTCTATGACACATGTTCTTCTGAAGACAAAATCTATATTCCATACATAGCATCGATGTTTCACCTCATCCTGTTTTTAAATAAAGCATCAAGATCTATGTAGATGGTCTGGTTTATTAAAGGATAGGAGGGTTTAGCTGCATGTCCAGCTACACACAGAGTAACATGTTGTGAGGACAGACTATTCACAGTCCAAGAGGAAGAGATTTCTCCAGTATTTATGCCCCGCTCAGGTTGGGAAACAGCCCCAAAATGGCGACACACTCTTCACACCTAGGATGTTGGAACATCTGGATGAGTCCACCAATTTTGCTCATAGATTTCATGACCCCAGGCCTCATCCAGAGACATGGGTGGCCTGAGTCCAGAGGGATGAAATGGTCTCGCCAGGGAGGAATTCTTACTCTGTGTTCCCACCTAGTGCAAATATCCACAACCTGAAGCCACCTGCAGCTACCAAAAGTGATCACAGTAGGTAGTGTAGATTTATTTGTGTAGAGCAGGGGTAGGCAACCTTGGCTCTTTTATGACTCGTGGACTTCAACTCCCAGAATTCCTGAGCCAGCACAGCATAGCTGGCTCAGGAATTCTGGAGGTCCACGAGTCATAAAAGAGCCAAGGTTGCCTACCCCTGGTGTAGAGCAAGAAAAGGGTAAAATTCCTAGGAGATCATGATAGAATGACTTAAACTTAATTAAAACTAACAAGATTTCACTTGGATAAAATTCAAATTGAATTAAATCACATTTTATTTTTTGTTCTGGTTTTACCCATTCTCCTGCCCTGGGCTGCATTTCCTTTGCAGAGGTTGGTAGGTGAGGGGGAGAGTTTTAAAAAGTCAAGATGGTGCCCATCGCCATGTGAACGAATCTGTTTTTTCACTTGCTGGAGTGACACCTGGATTTTGTTCAAAGGACAAGCGCAACCCTAAAACACAGCTGCCTGCTTCTGAACAAGGCCCTTGGCCAAGTACTCAGTTTGGTGAAGAATGCACCAATCCTAAAGAACCCAAAGGCATTTCTAAAATATCTGACTCCAAACGAGGCTTGCCCTGCAAATGGAAGTCTTTGCCAAGAAACGAGGGTTACTCTTACCAGGCAAGATGGACTCGATCCACACAGGAGCATGGCCACGTAACGTAAACCCGAAGCTTCTACTGCCCTTGTAGACACGGACAGTTCTGGGGAAGGAGAGCACATTGTAGTCCTTACACCAAACGGGGAATCCAAAAGGAGCAACGCAGAGCTTTCCCCGCTAAGCTGTCTGCAGAGGAGGGATCTTTGAGCCCCTTCCCTGCCTCTCTTGACACGGGTGTTTCTCAACCTTGGCCACTTTGGGACAGCTGGACTTCACCTCCCAGAATTCTGGCTGGTTGGAGAATTCTGGGAGTTGAAGTCCATCCGTCTTAAAGTGGCCAAGATTGAGATACACCGCTTTACATATAAAAATCCTTTCAAACTGAGAATCTTTGGAATTTTGCCTTTGACTGGCATGTTACGCTGATCTCTTCTTTAGCAGCCATTTAAAAAACAAACAAACCCAACAATCCCTTTCACATGCAGTAGGATTTTGTCCTGCAGGTTTCCATGTCACGTTCAACTCTACAGGTTCAGGTTTCCTAGTCTGCCCCTTCTCACAATATCCCAGGTATATATGACGTCTCCACCGACTGTACATAAATATGTCCAATAAACTTTCTTCTCCTCTCCTTTCCAAAATGGCCTAAAAATAAGCTCTCTACATGATGGCACAGACTCTTTAGGGCAGTGGTGGCGAACCTGTGGCACGGGTGCCAGAGGCGGCACTCAGAGCCCTCTCTGTCGGCACATGCGCCCTCGCCCCAGTCCTAGGCCTTCAGCTGGGTTTTATAAAACCTTTTCGCTTTAGGCCTCCGCTGCCTGTGCCAAAACAAAAAAAAGGTTCAATCAATCAGTCAATTCCAACTTCTCGTGGGAAAAAAAAAGATCGTGCAAAGTTGGAATTGATTGATTGAACTTTTTAGTCCCACCCAGTTTGCTGTTACCACCGCAACCATGCCCAGCCAATGGGCCACACCCACCCAATGGGCCACACCCACCTAATGGGCCACACCCACCCGGCACCCGACGATGCATAAGTGGGTTTTGGGTTGCAGTTTGGGCACTCGGTCTCTAAAAGGTTCGCCATCACTGCTTTAGGGCCTTTGGGGACAGACAGGCTCCACTCTAGAATCTGCATCTTGGGGAGGGGGGTCTTCGCAGATCCTTACCTGCAAGCTGCCCCCGTCCCCACATTGTTGCCAATCAGAGCGGTGGACTTCCTCAAGCTCTGGCAATTCTCTTCCTGGCACCGGGGCACTGAGCTGGCCCGGGTGGAGACCAGCAGGCGTTCATGGTGGTCCTCGCTACGGCTGCGTCTCAGACGGTTGGTCGGCTGCTCTCTCTTGGCTCGGCACAGCTTGCTGATGAGACTCTGGGACACCACCTCATCAAAGCGTTGCCGGTGTTTCCTGGGGATGAAGATCCTGGAAACAATGAAAGGAGACCCGGGTTAGGGAAGGGGCATGGGGCTTGGGACCAGCCTGCTTGGCTGCTGCTCTCAAAAAGGCACTGGATGCATAACCCAAAGCAGCTCTCAGAGAAACTCAGAAGTCTGAGAAGAATATACAAGGAACGGTTACAGGAACTAGTCTAATGAAAAGGACTAGGGGGGAGATGATAGTAGTGTTCCAATATTTGAGGAGCTCCTACAAAGACGAGGGGTTCAAACCATTTTCCAAAGCACCCAAAGGCAAGACAAGAAGCAATGGATGGAGACTAATCAAGGAGAGAAGCAAGTGGGGAAAAAAAAGATCTTGCAAAGTTGGAATTGATTGATTGAACTTTTTAGTCCCACCCAGTCTGCCGTTACCACCGCAGCCACGCCCACCCAATGGGCCACGCCCACCCAATGGGCCACACCCACCCGGCACTCGACGATGCATAAGTGGGTTTTGGGTTGCAGTTTGGGCACTCGGTCTCTAAAAGGTTCGCCATCACTGCTATAGAAGCAAATGGATTTCTGAAACTGACCTTGCACTCAGGCCTCCTGACCAGTGTTGGTGGCCTCTCAGACCCCCCCCTCCCTCTCCATACCTCAGTAGGAAGCTCCACTCTCCCCATATCGCTCTGGGTCACTTTCACGTTCCTGCAAACTTTTTCTGCCATTCGGAAGGAGAACGTACCTTCCTCCAACTGCGGATGGGAGACGGCCACACAAGACATCCTGTTCCATAGGCATTGTCTGCTTTTAGGGACAAGATGACAAGCTTCCCCAAATTAGAATACACAATAGTAGGGTAAGAGTTGGAAGGGACCTTGGAGGTCTTCTAGTCCAACTCCCTGCTCAAGCAAGAAACCTTGTACTGTCCAGTCTCTTCTTAAAAGCCTCCAGTGATGGAGCACCCAGAACATCTGGAGGCAGGCTGTTCCACTGGTGAATTGTTCTCACTGTCAGGAATTTCTCCTCAGTTCTAGGTTGCTTCTCTCCTTGATTAGTTTCCATTCATCGTTTCTTCTCTTGCCTCTTTATTTAATTATTTATACAATTAAGTTTTAAATGAATTGTAGCCACACAGAATCCCCAAGCAGCACAAATACCGTCCTGGTCCTTTTTCAAACCTGCAGCTGAGAAGATGGAAGGTGCTCTCCAGCCCCAGCACTGCAAGAGGACCCGCTGAGCATTTCCTCCATCCTCTCTGCGTGGCCTCTTCACATCCAACATGGCTCCCCAGGATGTGACCAAGGACCCCTTCTTCGCCTGGTACTCAGGCAAGACTTGAGGAGCCCCTCACACTCATTTCTTTGTTTCCCCTTCCCTGTTCTCTTAGGACGGGCATCGTTTATCTCACGCCCCCAGACCCAGACTCTTCTTTATCCTGCTCCTTTCTTTCTAGTGACTTTCTAAACAGCTGCAGAATAACAGAGCTGGAAGGGGCTTTGGAGATCTTCTAGTCCAACCCCCTGCTCAGACAAACGGTTGTCCAATCTCTTCTTTAAAAAACACCTCCAGTGATGAAGCAGCCACAAATTCTGACGGCAAGCCGTTCCACCGATTAATTGTTCTAAGTGTCAGGAAATTTCTCCCTAGTTCTAGGCTGCTTCTCCACCTTCCTGCAGTTCTCCACCTTCCTTGCCAAGCATGTTCTTGGGATATTCTTCTGACAATTCCCAATTCTTGGATTCAAATTCTATCCTCTCATAACGGGAAGAAATGTGATTTAAGTACCAGAATGGCGAGATGTGCTCGGGTAGCTTTAGGCACTGTATCCATCGATCGGCAGCATTTTACTCAAGATCACGCCAAGTACTAGTACCGCTTTATAAAACCCTAGTAAGACTGCAGTAAGACTGGAATACTGCAGCCAATTCTGGTCACTATACTACAAAAAAGATGTTGAGACTTTGGAAAAAGTTCAGAGAAGAGCAACTAAGATGATCAAAGGCCTGGAGACTAAAACATATGAAGAACAGCTGCAGGATTTGGGTTTGGCTAATCTAAAAAAAAGAAGAAATAGGGGTGACATGACAGCAGTATTCCGGTATTTGAGGGGCTGCCACAAAGAAGAGGGGGATCAAGCTATTCTCCAAAGTACCTGAAGGCAGGACAAGAAACAATGGATGGAAACTAGTCAAGGAGAGAAACAACCTGGAATTAAGGAGAAACTTCCTAACAGTGAGGACAATTAACCAGTGGAACAGCTGGCCTCCAGAAATTGTGCGCACTCCATCACTGCAGATTACTAAGTAGAGGCTAGACAGTCACTTTTCTGAGATGGTATAGATTCTCCTGCTTGAGTGGGGGGCTGGAGTAGAAGATTTCCAAGGTCTCTTCCAGCTCCTATTCTATTCTATTCTATTCTATTCTATTCTATTCTATTCTATTCTATTCTATTCTATTCTATTCTATTCCATTCCATTCCATTCCATTCCATTCCATTCCATTCCATTCCATTCCATTAAAGATCTAGTTTAATGAAGAGAAGGACAAGGGGGGACATGATAGCAGTGTTCCAATATCTCAGGGGCTGCCACAAAGAAGAGGGAGTCAAGCTATTTTCCAAAGCACCAGAGGGCAGGACAAGAAGCAATGGATGGAAACTCATCAAGGAGAGAAGCAACCTGGAACTAAGGAGAAACTTCCTGACAGTTAGAACAATTAACCAGTGGAACAGCCTGCCTCCAAAAGGGGTGAATACTCCAACATTGGAAGTTTTTACGAAGAGAATGGACAGTCATTTGTCTGAAATAGTATAAGGTTTCCTGCCTGAGCAGAGGGTTGGACTAGATGACCTCCAAGGTCCCTTCCAACTTTATTATTATTATTATTATTATTATTATTATTATTATTATTATTATTATTATTATTATTATTATTATTATTATTATTATTATTCTATTCTATTTTATTCTATTGCTGAGTCAGTAGAAGAGCTGCTCCCCTGGACCATTTTTTGCACTTCCTTCTTCCTGTCCTGCTGTGCTAAGAGAACCGAGACATTAATCCTCTTTGCTCACTTAAATGCCTTCCCTACTTCTCACCTAAAGGACGAGGATCCAGTTTTGGAAGAGTGCTAAGTGAACCTCCAACTTTGCAGCAGAATCACAGAATTGGGACGGGACCATCCAATTCAAGCCCTGCTCAACACAGGAATCCAAATTAAAACATCCTGGATTGGATGTTATCTAGTTTCTGCTTCAATGCCTCCAGAGAAAATGAGATACCTACTACTGGCTCCAATGTCACATTTTCCCATTACTAGGATTTATTTATTTTTCAAAAATTCAAATAGCGCCTGCTTTTCTGTAATTGATATTCATTCCATTTCTGGCACTGTGGAATGGAAAAAAAAACAGTTTTTGACTTTCTAGGTGATCTCTTTTCAGCATTTCAGATTCCTTGTCAGTCTTCTCCTGAATGAAAAGTAGGACTAGAGGTGACATGATAGCACTGTTCCAATATCTGAGGGGCTCCTACATAATGAGGGGGTCAATCTATTTTCCAAAGCAACAAAAGGCAAAACAAGAAAGAATGGATGAAAACTAACCAAGGAGAGAAGCAACCTAGAACTAAGGAGAAATTTCCTAACAATAAGAACAATTAACCAATGGAACAGCTGGTCTTCAGAAGTTGTGGGTGCTCCATCACTGAAGGCTTTCAAGAAGAGACTGGACAGCCATTTGTCTGAAATGATATAGGGTATCCTGCTCAAGCAGGGAGTTGGATTATTCTATGTTCAGACCAAGCTCCTTCAACCTCTCTTCAATATTTCTCCCCAGTTTTATGTGGTAATAATGACGAACATTTGAGCCAAGTGTTGTCATGCCACCAGCCCACATTTAACTCACTTACTAATCAGCACATGCTCTCTCAAATGTTTTGGTAAAGGCATATTGTGTCTATCAGCATTCCGATAATCTATTACATAAGTTAGCCAAGCAGAAAATGAAGTAAAGTTAGTCTATTCTTATCAAATCTATGCTGATATGGTAATTTTCACCTTGTTTTCAAGGAAATCATATACCAATCTCTTCATGATCTGTTCTAGAATTTTCCTGGTACAGATGTCTGATTCCTTGGACTATAAATCTTTGGATCATCCTTTCCCCCCCTCTTTTGGAAACAGAGATATAATCACTGCAGTGGTCAAGTTAGTAACACGGTTGTTAAGTGAATCTGACTGCCCCATTGACTTTACTTGTCAAAAGGTCACAGAAGATGGTCACATGACCCCGGGACACTGCAATTGTCACAAATATGAGTCAGTTGTCAAGAGTCAGAATTTTGATCACCGAACCACGGGGATGATGCAATGGTCGTAAGTGTGAAAAATGGTCATATGTAATTTTTTCAGTGCCATTGTAACTCTGAACAGTCACTAAACAGTTACTGTTGTAAGTTGAGGACTACCTGTATCTCCTTTTTTAGGAATTCCCAACCATCTCAAGTTCCTTTTCTTGTTAACTTCTACTTATCTTTTACTGCTCTTGAATTTACTAAAATCTACTTTTTTTGAAGTCCAAGGTACATGCCGTAGATGCTAGTGTTATCTTCCGGGGGGTGGGGGGAAGCAGCATCTCCCAATTGTCTCCAGGTCCAGGTCCAGGTTGTCAAGGCTCTTTTCCCGAGTATTAGGCTAGGATGGGGGTGAGCCGGAGGCTGTTTGGCCTGGCGCTGAGGGAGGGGTTCTTTTGTTCTTGTCCTGGCCTTTATGGGTTAGAATAGAATAGAATAGAATAGAATAGAATAGAATAGAATAGAATAGAATAGAATGAAATGAAATGAATAGAATAGAATAGAATAGAATAGAATAGAATAGAATGAAATGAAAAGAATAGAATGAAATGAAATGAATAGAATAGAATAGAATAGAATGAAATGAAATGAATAGAATAGAATAGAATGAAATGAATAGAATAGAATAGAATAGAATGAAATGAATAGAATAGAATAGAATAGAATAGAATAGAATGAAATGAAATGAAT